AATGATCACAAACAACCAAATAATTTGTGATCACCACCAACACTCGTGACTACCGCCTCGCAACTGTCACCACCAGCATGGCAACTGAAACCCAATCATCGGAACCACCACCACCACTGAATGACCTAAAAAAATTTTTAAAAAAAATTTTAATGTAGGAACTCAATTGAAAATAAAGTCAAAATTACAGTGACCAAAACTAACCTTGCTTCCCTCCAAATAGATTTGATTATCACTCACACCAGAAACCTCACTTCCCTCTCTCACACACACTATTTATGGGCTACTGTGTGTACTTCTCTACTCCCACAATCATCACTCACAGTAAATCTAAATCATTCTACTATTGTTTTGAAAATTTTGAAAGAAATAAAGAACAACGATGAAAAGGGATTCTTCAGATTAAGAGGAGGATCGTGAGAATCTAATCCCACAAAACAACAAGCGAAATGACGGAATAAAATCCCCAAATCATTCACCCGTTGCGGCAGAAAGAAAATGGAGAAGGAGAAGCGGTGCTGCTGCCGTTGCAAGGCCCCGTTGCCGATCGTGTGCAGCGGTGCTGCTACCGTTGGTCGCAGAGCACCTCCTTGGAAACAAAATGAGCAACATGTCGAAGCCGTCGGATGGAGAGAGAGAGAGAGAGAGAGAGAGAAGGAAACGTGGATAATGTTTGAGATTTTTAGGGTTTGGGTAGTGTTAAAGTTTTGAATTAATATATGATTTTTGTATAAATAAATATTATATCTGATTTTTAAAATTCAATCTTTAAAATTCTGGTATTGTGTAATTTCCTCTAAACATAATTCTATATTGGGCTCTATTTCATTGTGATGATAAAAGGGCAAAAATCCAAAAATTAACCACCACCCCTTTATAAAAAATGCTGAAAAATATCTTTCTTCTTTTTTTTTTTTTCAAATTTTCAAATAATACTCCGTTTCCGTTGTAATTAATGTTCATAGTTCCTCTTTTTTTTTTTTTTAAATCTCATTTTCATTAGAAAGTTAAAAAAAAACATTTTTTTTCACAAGTAACAAATTGTGTTGCTATGCCCTTGTTTAAGCTCCATTATTTGAAAAAAAAAATTAATTTTGGAATAGTGTTTCTTGGAGAATGTGTGGTTAAAAAATAAAGAAAATTTTTGGATTTATGTATAATATTATTTTAAGGATAATTGCAGCAGGGATATCAAACATTTCATTTAGTAGCAGACTTTGCCCAAACCTTTAATTTGTGTCACCAACGGTACCAAATCTTTCATTTTTGCCACCAACGGTACCAAATATTTCAAAATGTCCGCAGCTGAAGTCCAAATGGATGATTTCTGTTAGTTTGACCTTTAGTTGACCAAATGATTGACATTGACAATAATGTTGACTGATTTCAAAAGGTTAATATTGTAATTTTACATTTTTAATAATAAAATAACCAAAATCAAATAATTAAAATTAAAAACCTATTACACCTTCTTCTTCTTCTCCACCTACCCCAAATCTGCAAATTTGGGAAATCAACCTCCTCGAATCCTCGAATCCATGACGTCAGAAATCTGTTGCCCAACTATGTAGATATACGTAAGCCGAATTAGAAATTTGGACTTAATAACCGATCAGAAATGGAGCTCTTCAATAAAAATATGGATTTCCTGCTGAAATGGTCCGCCGAATAGACTATCTTGACCAAAGAGGAGAAGAAAAGATAAGAGATTGAAAATGGCTTAGGGATTTTCTGTATAACGTCTAAGTAAATTTCTGTTAAGGTCAATTTCTTGCTGCTAATTTAAGGGAGGTTGTGGCGATCACTACAACCTATATGTGGGTGGATTGCAATCATCGACACGATGGAGGTGTGTGGATTTTGGTTCGTTCGGTTGGGGTTGGGTGAGGGAATGGGGGGTAAGTGTGGGGGGTGAAAGAAAATTAACTGTTTCGAATGAAGTTTTAGGTTTCTGATTTCATGGTTAATCAAGATGAAGTTTTGGGCTAAATGCAGACGCAAAGTTCCTTAGAGCGACCGCCATTGCAGCATAGTGCACATTCGGTTTTAGGGACTCCATTCTCGAACTTGTTGAAGCGTTCTCAAAATTCTAAACCCAGATTTGCAGATTTGGGGTGGGCGTGGGAGTGGAATGAGTTTTTAATTTTAATTATTTAATTTTGATTATTTTTATTATTAAAAATGTAAAATTACCATTTTAACATTTTAAAATCAATCAACATTATTGTCAAAGTCAATTTTTTGGTCAACTAAAGGTCAAATTAACAGAAATCATTCATTTGAACTTCAGTTGCATATATTTTGAAAAGTTTGGTACCGTTGATGGCAAAAATGAAAGGTTTGGTACCGTAGGTGACACAAATTATAGGTTTGGGCAAATGTCTGCTACTAAATGAAATGTTTGGTACCGTTGCTACAATTATCTCAATATTTTATTGAGAGAATGTGTGATTGATAAGAGAAAATAGAAAAATGAATTAAAATTTAATGATGACCAAACATGAACTATGTTACTTTTTCAAAAAATAATGTTTTGTACCAATAACATGTGTGATCATATGTAAAATTTTATTAGAAAATCAATGCTAAACCTATGTTTTACTGTCTCTAAAAGAAAGGGGATTGAGACATGGATTATAGAAAAAAGATACACAAGAGTTTCGTCGTTATGATTTTGATTTATGGCGTGTTTGAGACCCATTTTTTTTTTTGTATATAATATATTTTGAAATAGTAAATTGATAAAGAATACGTAGTTAAGAAATAAGTAATTTTTTTTTAATTTGCGTGTAATATTATTTTATTTAAAAATGTGTGATTAAAAAGAAAAGAGGAAAAAATATATTTTTAAAAAAATGAGAATCAAAGTAGAACGTAGATAATATTAGGTAGCAATGACATTTTGTTGACTTATGACACTTTAAACATTTATAGCCCGTTTGAGCCCTAACTTTTGCAGAAAGTGTATTTTGAAATAGTAATTCGATGGAGCTTAAAAAATAGTGAAAATTTTTGGATTTCGTGTATGTTGGGAAATACATAGCAATATATAGGCTCCAAATGACAATGCTACCAAAGTTCAACAGCTCAGAATCAGACTTGCCTCACTTTACAAAATATATAGCTTAATGATCCAACATTTGCTTAGCATATATATTAATCAACAAACACCATAAACCATAAAGTACTGAGGATTGAACATCATAAAACCGAGACAAATAAACAAGGCAGAATGTATATATATCAAGGTATTGAAATCAGAACTTAAATATGGGCAGAAAGCTACTTCCCTTTCCCCCGTTACTGTGGCCGTTCTTTCCTTCTTCAAGGTCGAATGACATAGGCTCAGGAACAGCCTTCCACGCCTTGCAATCGCCCTTCAGAGAGAGATCAAGAACCAACCAAGCCTCCTTCAATCTTGGCTTGGATCATCGACCAAGAGGTCTACCAAAACCGCCAAGAAACCACGCCTAAAATCAGACCTAAGCCTCACAGAAACACAACACAACTTAGCCACTATTTCAGGCCTAAGTATAACAGCGGTTTCTTCAATCAATAAGCTAAATGGTCGATTTCTAGGCCAAAGGAAGAAAGGGGAAGATAGCAGCCTCAAACCCTCGAGGCAGAAAGAGAGCAAACGAGAGACTAAGAGGGAGAGAAGGTAGTGTCTCAAAGAAGCTAACCCACGTGAATATCAAGAGAAAGTCAAGTCAAGAAAATATCTAAAGCCAAGATTTAATCCCAGTCATTGATCTCAATCCAATGGTCAAAATAGAAACCGACCCATATGTGTCAAGAGAACCACATAGGCCCAATTAAGCCCACACAGTGTAATATTATTTTATTAAAAAATATCTAATTAAATATAAGAAAAAAATATATTTTAAAAATAACGATGACCAAACAGGGGTTTAGATTAACAAATTTAATCGTGGAAGCCCGGTGCAAATATACACGACCCCTTCTAAAACTCTATCGGGACTGAACCCCGTGGATGAGGAGCTAGGTTGGGATGGGATTGTGGGAGTAGGAGATTGGGTGAACATTTTTCTTTTATTTTACCTTCACAAATTGTACCATACGCTTTGAATAAGCAATCTCTTACCATCCATCGAGGCCACTTGTATCACGATAATGAACTGTTGAGAATTAATTTGCTTGTTTTTGAAGGCTAGATACCAGCTATTAAATTTTCTTGAACTTAAAACATTTAGCCAATGGGAATATAAACAGACGAATTCTCAATAATTCGAATCCTTAATTTGAGATAAAATGCAAAAAAATAAATAAAATTATTTAGACTGGAAAATTGGAACAATCGGAATATCACCGACTTGTCAGTTTCATCCGCTTTCAAATCTGCCATTTCGGATTTTTTTTCCCCTGAAGGCTTTCACTCCTCTGTTCAATTCAGCTTCTCTATGTTCTCCACTCTCACTGTTCAACAGCTCCTTCGTATATATATTTAACTTACTTTTCTTTTAGCAGTACTTTATTTGTTTAATCAAATCCGGATTTTGACCTCGATCCAATAAAAACACAAAAGGGTTTCGTGATTTAACACAAACCCAGTTTCCCGTTTATCATTTAGATGTAACAGCAATTTTCGTCAATCTTGTGGCCTTTCTTATGATGCCACTGACCCCTTCTTTCGAATTCACTGGTAATAATCTCTACTCTTAATTACTCAATTTGCATTGCGGTGTGCAATTGTCTTCGTGTTCCTTTATTAGTTGTAATTAATTTGGACCCTGGATTCTGGTTGACATTTATTGGATAATATTGCTTAGAAGTAATTATAGTGATTGAATGGCTATGTTGGCATATTTCTTCTGTTTCATTTTTGTATTTCTTTTTTCGGGATTTGAGTTTATGTATTGATACTAATTGGATCATATTTTTAGGTCAGCGAGTGATAAGTTGCATTTTTCTGGAACAGAGATATTAGAATGAAATCGAAAATAAAATGGGCAGCCCTTGGAGGACTAGTGTTGTCATTTATGTCTCTATTGGTGCATTTATTTCTTGCCAAGTCAAGCGCTGATCTAGTACAATACAGTGCAATCAAGGCTTTCAGTGAAGATTTACAATATGCAAACAGTGCTGGCGGAAAGGTATAAGAAAACCGCAAAACAGAATTATGTATATTAACTTCTTATCTCAAAATTTACATACATCTATATGCATAGATTGTGCAGTGTGTGAGATTTGATCAGTGCATGAATAATATGTTTGAATATTGCTGAAGGGTGCTGGATCTAGGAAGCTGTGGGGCAAGGTGAAGGCTCTAGAACTTCTGCAGCCATATGCAAATCCAAGAAGCTCATTTCCCGGTAACGTGTGCAAGTCTCTATATATCTGTCTTGGAATTACTGCCCTGTCTGCTAACATATTGAATATCATTAATTACTATTAGTGATTGAAATGTGTATTTTTAGTTAGTGAAATCATGTTACTGTCTATATATAATTCACAAGATCCATATATATGTGTACATTATGCATTCTTGCTGTGAAATTTGTTTTTCATATTTACACATATATCTGCACACAATGATTTTTTAACACTTGCATCATTGTGTGTATAGAAATGCTAGAGCTTGCCACGCTTGGTGGAAATGAAATTCAATGCAGAAGTTGTTAGAGAATTCATAAGATAAATTGAAGAGATAGAAAAAATGTAACTAGTTAGATGTAATTCTTATATCATTTTTTTTGTGCCCTTGGATAAGAAAAGATGTTTAAAGAAAGCTGTTCAAATTCATTTCTTACATTCACATCGCGTTTTGATTATCGAAATCTTTGGTGTTCACTATGATATCATTACCTTGTTGTGGTTTTCATATATTTGAATCCTTTCCAGGGTTTTTAGTGCTATTGAGCTTTCTTTCTGAGAAGTAAAGGGTAGTGTGGATACTGATTTATATTTTGAAATCTACATGCATTTTTTATTTTTCAAATCATCTGCTATCAAGTTCAATATTATAGAGTATATGAATTTGATATCAAATCTGTAATTTTCCTGTGTGCTCAGTTTATGCAAAAGCGTAGGAGAATGTTCATAAACTTTGGGCAATTAAAGCAAGAAAAATACATACAGCATGAAGGTGTTCAAGTTTTATGCTTTAGTTCTGGAAGTTGTGGACACAAGGGGCCTGATGATCAAATACAAGGCCAAAAGGGGAATGGAAAGAGCCTAGGCTAATTTGATGTATGCAGGGTTGGATCTCTGAGTAGATCTTGGGGATGTTTAATGTGAGCAGAATCTGATATGGTTGTAGCACAAGGAGGAAGTATTGAAAAGCAAAAGACCATTAGGATCTGGGATTGTTTTAAACTCTGACGATCATTTGTTATGAATCTGTATGAATGATGCGCACCAGAGTTGTGAAGCTCTTAACTGAAATAGTTCATCTGTGTTTTTTAATGAACAATTGATACTCACTTCTTCACTGTTTGAATGTCAATGCTGCATTGCAATAGTATTAATACCTTAGATATTTTTTATGTTTTGACACTTTGATACTACTAAGAACTCAGCCTATGTTTTCCCTAGCTAGCTCTACATTTGGGTGAAGGAATTCGAGGTAGTTTTACAGCCATGTAGAACTTTGTCAAGTTGTATGACATGAATCTAATGCAAATGCACTTCTATACTTAGCACTGTAGTTTTCTAGAAGAATTCTAAAGTAATTAGTTTGATTAACACTTTTATATGTAATATATGTCTTGAAATAGAAGGAATTAACTCTCATTAAATATGTAACAGATTCAATACTTGCAGAATGATTTTTTACGTGTAAAATCTCAAATACACTGACTTGTAACATAGTGGAAGACAGAGAAAATAGCCAAATATGAACAAATTGCCACATCAACGGGTGTGACTGGTTTTCCTTATAAGTAACTTATAATTTTCGGTTAAAGTCAAACTTTAATTTTAACCATAATATTCACAACTATTATCCACACATTTCGTAGGACCCATTACTCATTTCATTATAATCTCCTTGTAAGTTACTTATATTGAATCTCAAACGCGTGCAATATACTTATTCAATGTGAACATACCTAGGGCTAATTTGAATTTAAATCAATGAAGAAACTTTCTTCAAGCATGACTCGTCCCTTTCTACTTCACATGATCTTTATATTGAACATACTTCTTTGTTCTTTCACTTGCTAGGCCACGGTAGTTCCTTCTGTGTGTATGTATAGCACTGTGGGTGACCTTAGATAATCTAGTCTCTATAGTTGCACTATAGGAGGTCTTATCTGATGACATGATGTATTTAAATTCTTTAACGCTTGAAACTCTTTATTCTTGCATTGCCTTTTCTGTATATCTTAATTTATAATTTATGGATAAGAAACGTGCATTGGTTAAGCTTAGATGAAATATTGGTACTCTAAAGTTTGCAGTCTTATTGATAGATAGTTCCTTTTGTTTTCTAAATCCCTCTTTATGATGAGCCTTCTATAGACTTCATCTACACTTCTTCATTGTTGAATTTGACTTGTGTTTGTGTTTCAGTTCCAAATGAGGAGAGCAATGGTTTCATATATGCAAAAGTTTTCGGTGGCTTTGAAAAGATTAGAACCTCGGTATACTCTGCATCTTTCTAAAAATGTCTTTCCATTTTCTTCTATTTGATGTCCCTAACTGGTTGCCAATTGAACAGATCTGTGATCTGGTCACTGTATCGCGGCTTCTGAATGCTACCCTTGTTATACCGGACATTCAAGAAAGTACTCGTTCAAAAGGCATAAGGTTATTGTTTTTTTTTAAGAAAGCGCTAAGATCAGTTAGATCATGTGTGCATGTCTGAATACTAATTGTATTAAATACATTGCAGTACCAAGTTCAAAAGTTTTTCATATCTCTATAATGAAGAGCAATTCATATCAGCTCTAGCAAGTGATGTCATCATTGTAAAAAGCTTACCTTCCAACCTGAAGGAGGCCAGGAAACGGAAACAGTATCCCATTTTCAAGCCTAAAAGTTCTGCTTCTCCAAGTTTTTATGTTCAGGAAGTTTTACCAAAATTAAAGAAAGCAAAGGTCATTGGCTTAGTACTTTCTGATGGAGGTTGCTTACAGGTAGGCATTGTATCTTCTTTATTCTCAATTGTTTTTTATTTCAACTGTGATTGGTTTGAACAAAAGTGTAATAATTTGGAGTGTGAAGAGAATGTAGAGTTACTAGATGGTTTTTAGCAAGAGGATTAGATGCCAGTCCTTAAAAGCCACCGAGCAGGAGAAGAAACAAGCAAAGAGAAAAACTGATTTAATGTGGATCTTCATAGTGAGCCTATGTTTTTGGAAACTGGATCAATTCTTTTTAGGTAAGGAATTAGCAAGACAATCCCGGAAATATCTATTATTTGGTTCTGTGCTGAATCCAAATGAATGTATATAAAACTGTAAATGGTTAAATAGAAGTATAAAAAAGGAAACTAGGTGGAATTCTAACGAGGAACAAAAGCTTCCGGCACAGTGTTGTTATGGGAGGATGTGGCTTCTTTTTAGTATAAATTTCAATCTTTTATTTTTTGTTTTCTTGAAAAAGTGAAATCAGGTTTCAGTCGAGAATAGCATCCCCTTAATCTGCACAGTATGTTTTAGAGCATGATTCAAACAAATTTGGACCACTTTTGGCTTCTTTTTGTCTCACTTGCTCAACAGGATAGGCTACATTGACTGATATTGTTTGAAACTTCTGCTTTTGGAAATCCCTTTAACTTGAGGTTGCTCAATGCATGTTTGACATTTTTGTATATAATTGTTTTGATGAGCAGTAAACATGGAGCAAAAACGTTATAAAGTGAATAAGGTAAAAAAATGAGAAAGCAGCGGGGGAAACTTACATTTCTTGTATAATTACATTTCTTCGCTAATCTATGTAAGGGCATGCTAAATCCTTGTATGATTATTGAAGAGAAACTTACAAAATAAAATGTTGTCCCTGTCACGAAAGATGGTACGAAAACCCCTTAAAATCACAAGGAAAAGAAAACAATTCCAACTCTGATGCAGAGGAAAAGGCAGTAAGGAATCAACCTGTTCAAATAAGCTTTTTGAAATGAAAATAAGTGAGCCAATGAGATTGACACCTTGATTAATGCTGATTTCTGCTCAGATACATTACTGATCTCCTTCTCTCTTACACACACTGGTTTTGTGTATGATCTGGGCTTGCAAACTCTCTGTGTGTCTGTTTAGCTATATGGTATTTGTATGTGTGTTCTGCAATCAATCTATGTACGTGTATGTCTGAGTGGAAGCAGCAAGCGAGACTGAGTGGAAAAAAAGGTTACAGAATGCAAGGGTCATATCTACAAATGTACATTTACCTAGTGCCTTTGATATGGGGAGTTCACATATTAATGTTCATCATGTACCTGGATCATTAAAGTGTATATTAGGCATGAGGCATGTGTATGTATTGTCACATGAGCTGAACATACTGCAATTTTTACTTATCCCTTATCTTTCTCTCTTCTCATTCTTATTGTTTTTGCTGCTGCTGTTCATATTTTTACTTTTATATGGACTGCAACCTAGACATGTCTTTGGCATAGGGCTAATCCACTAATTTCACACTCACAAGCACACCCTCTAGAGAAAGAGAGACAGACAAACTAGGAGAAGAAGCAGGAAATGGGTCTGAGCAAATTGAAACAGAGAGGCTTAATTTGGAGGCTAATTCCCTGCTCTTCTCTTCCCCGAATTTAGGTTAGATGTGTTTTCATTTTTGGTTAGAGATTTTTGGTACTTCTGTAGCCATTTCAAAGTTAGAAAAGATTAAGCTGACTTGCATTTTCTGTTGGCATAATGGTTGGCGGTGAGTATTTGCCTTCTTTATTAATTCAACGAATTTAGCACTCCCTTACTATTACCAAAACGATGTCCCTATGCTTTGAAAAAATAAAAAATTTGGTTTCAATATGTTTGGTCAACACCAATATGACGAAAATGAAATTAAATATAGTTTGTTTTCGAAGTTAATTATAAGCACGTGCATTATTCATTTCTTTTGCGAAGACAGAACTGCTAAAGTAAAGGAGATATGACATTGAGCTCCTAGACGAAAACTTAAATTTGTGATTATGTGGCCAGACAATAAGATGCTTTGTCAAGATTGCTTCCTCTGATTGTTTATCATCTGCTTCTCTTGCTCCTCGTGGGAACAACACCAAGCTGGGGATGCCTATATTGTTTTTCCCTACAATTGATGCTTGCATTGATTATTTATTTGGTACCAGGGTGATACGAGCTTTTCACTAAGTTCTTTTTCTTTCCCTAGTCTGTCCTCCCCTCTAGCTTGGTTGAGTATCAGAGGCTCAGATGTCGGGTTGCATTTCATGCACTTCGTTTCCGCCAGGAGATTGTTGCGCTTGGGCATCTGATGGTGGAAAGGTGAGAACTTGTTTCCTTACGTTATTTGTTTTTATGGTGTGTAAGTGTCGGTCTCTGGTGTGTGACGAGTCATGCACAAGGTATTAACCATAGAAACACTGGTGGTGAATTTATTTTTTAGTTTCTCTCATGGATCTTGAGATAATGTCATGTTTGGTAATATTGAAACTGAAACGCTGAATTCTTAGACTTTACGTTGTTGAACTGAGTAAAATTTAATTTTTTTTGCTAATTCAGCACAGTGACAGCCGAATGACACCATTTTAACAACTTTAACCTGCTGTTCAATTGTGAAGATAAATTTTAATTTTGAATAAAAGTATGATTATGTCAGAAATTCCAATTTATAATGACATAACAGCCTAACATGGTAGAATCATTTTCCGTGACCTTCATGAATGAATACTTTTATATGTTAATTTAACTTTTATATATCTGCTCTTTAATTTATTTCAAGAACTATTGCAATGACTCCATGACTTCCACTTCTTTTCTGAATCCCATGTTGGCAATTAATATTCCAATTATCAAACCCACCATTGAAGTTACACATCCAAGAAATTTGATTATATATTGACCCAAAGCCCACCATAATTGTTGCCCAAATGTTCCTACATTAGCCTAACCATCATGGTTCTGCAAGTTTAAAGGCTAGAGATGACTATTAGTGATAAAAGGATGATTCCATAAGAAGACCCAGAAAACCTATCATCATTTATGATCAAGTAGATTGTTATGTTTAATATTGGGCTGCAATGTTTGTCAGAACAAATATCTTTTTGGGGAGAGGAGGGGCTTAAGATATATACTTTTCCTGTGAATCAATTGCATATCTAATTGACAGTGTCTTTCTAAATTTCTTTTGAGAAGAGATGGAGAAGACAAGACCCCAGTGTAAATTAGTCAAACTGGAAAGATTTTAAAATATCCGTCACTGGGCTTATTTAGTTTTCATATTAAGTAGATTTTTTTTATTAACTTAATTCAGTAACTGATCTCATTAGTATTTGCCATTACACTTATATTAAGAAGCATATCTTATTGTGGTTTGCTATGGGCTTATAATCGAGGAAAAACACCTTATTTGGGAGCTTCATTGGACTTCAGATTTCTTCACCAAATATGATAAATGCATGAAAAGTTCTCTTCCCTGTCTTAATTTTCCTTTTGTTTTAATATGATGTATATTATTATGATGCAACAATGCATTTGACCATATTACCAAGTAGAGACTATAATTGACATTATGGTTTATATTATTTTAGCTGATTCAATCACTTTAGGAATCTCACACTATTGTTTATTAGTGCAATAAAAATGGATCAATTGTTGAGTCACTACCAGCAAAGATCAAAATAATTGATTCTTTTGATCATCAGAAGCAGTTATTTAAATAATCGTAATCACATAATCTAAACCCAATGCATCCTTGTTGTGTCTTATACTAAATTAAGGCCTCTCTCTCTCTCTCTCTCTCTCTCNGAGCACATCCCTAGTTTCATAGCTTTGTTTGTGAGAGAGAATTATCTTCTGCAACTAATTTGATCATGCTAAGAAAGGTGACTTACCTCCTCACAAATCTTGATGGTGAAATGAATCTTTTAATAAGTCATATTTTGAGTATTGAGATGATAAAGGACAAGATTTCCATAAAATAAATTTAGGGAAAATGAAATTCTTAATGGATGTGTGGTCATGCTAGACTATATCAAGTAAGAAATAATAATGATATCTAGCACCAGTATACGTGGCTACATTTGAAATGTTCAATTAAGTGAATAGTATGACCTTGCATTTAAATGAAACTATCATTTAATGTCATTTAGTTGCCATCTAGACTGATGTTTAGCACCAGTAGTGTTGAGTAGTGATGACTCAATAAGAAATGAGAACATACAATAAAAAGTGGCTATGATGCAATTGCACTTAATTTGAGAAAAGGGCGATTTAGGTGGTAGGGCCATATTTTGCGTTGACCTAAAGGCACTCCTACTCATAAAGACGACACAACTTCAATTAGCAAGTCAGTAGAGGGAGAGCAGTATCAAAGCTAAGATGGCCCGTTATTGTTAAGGATCCGTTAGTAGATCTAGCAATGAACCGAACAAGTGTGTTTCCTATTTATATCTTTTGAATGCCATGAGATTATGACTTGGATCAATGGGAAAGAGAACTTGTCTAGGCAAACCTTAATTTATAGGAAATAAGGCTTATTTGTTGTATTAATTCTATAAACTATACAAACAACCTTGTTTCTATTAACCTTTTATCCTGTTCAAATTTCAAATGCATTTGCCGACCATATCTTACAACGGTTCATTGAGGGAGCTCTGGTGCTGGAAAATTGTAATAGCATCGAATGAAAGAAGCTCAATATTATTTCTTAAATAAATCCTTGGAGGAACTCTTTTTGCCTAACTGATATCCTGACACTGAAAAGTAATAAACTCTATACATAAAATACACTATTTATTACTTTCAGATTTGAAAAAAATCATTACTCATTCTTTATTGATTCTATTTGCTTTTAAGAGTGGCTCTTAGGTAAGATCAGCTCTGAAGAAAAGCTTCTTTCCCCTCATTGCTCAGGTTAAGAGGTTCTGGTCAACCTTATCTTGCTTATCATCCAGGGCTGAAAAGGGATACCCTTGCATATCATGGATGTGCTGAACTTTTTCAGGTTTCTGATGCATCTCATTCTCATTTTTGTTATTATATCCATGTTCTTTGATGTATGAATGAAATGTTGGGGGCAAATAAATGCCATCGTATCAGAAATATTGATTGTGACATGATGTTGGAATCGCACAAGCAGAAGATAATGCTGTGAATAATTTAATGTTTAATTGGGTTGTATCTTGCATTATGCTTATCTCCTTTTCCTCGATTTGGTAAAATCAGCATGTTTCTATTGTCCATGTACAAGTTGGTCAGAAGTTAATCTCATTACCATTTTGTATTATTTTATGACTTTTACAAGGTTATTTAATTCTGAAATGCTCTCATCTTCTGTAACTTAATTTATTTAATGTATTTCTTGACGTGTGACATGTCAATATACGGGGTATGTAGTTGATAAAGAATGAGGTAGAGTAAAATTTTATGGTCGCTTGGTTTCAAATGAGAAACCATGCCCTTTGTAGCATATAATGGGAGTACTGAAGAGAGAAATCACTGAGAGTAATTAGATCTGCGTATAACGAGCTTTCTAGCTGAAGTTACAGCTCACCTTTTTTTCCCAGTTTTGGTGAAGAAGGCTGAGATTACTGGTCTAGCACATACGTTTTAATCTGATATCGAGTTGCTTATTGTTTACCAAGACTTGTAATACTCCCCCTGACCTGTATTTTTGTAGGATGTGCACACACAACTTATACAATATCGACGAGCACAGCTAATTAAACAAAGAATCATCAATGAAGAACTCCATGTGGATTCGCACACTCGAAAAGGAAATGGTTCTTGTCCACTTATGCCGGAAGAGGTATTACGAGACACAATGTTTTTCATTCAAATATAAATCCACAAATGGTCATCCATACTGGTTTAAGACACGTTCACTATATTGGTGATGTTTATAACTGCTTAAAAGTGGCTATTTCCATAAAAGATTTCATGAATGGTCTACATCCAAGTTCAATTGAATTGATGTTTTTACCTTTCAATTTTATAAACATGCTAGACGATTTGCTTATGGAAAATGATTCAATTGAATTGATGTTTTTACCTTTCAAAAAAAAAAAAAATTGAATTGATGTTTTCAGTCAACTCATTATATTGTTTATGTAAATCGAAATACTTTTTTGCAAAATTGAATTCAAACAGAACATAAATGGATCCAAGGTGTAAGTTCTGTTTTATAATGAAGAAAATTAAACTTTTTTTCTGGCTAATATATCCTTCTCCAGGCTGCATAACTCTTGTGTATTGCTTATAAAATTCCCTCTTATAAATGACATTGCCCAGTCAACTATCATAATTCTTGTTTCTACTCTTTTGCTGAAAACAATTGGAAATTATAGCTAGATGTAAAGAAACTGAGGCAAATGGCAGATGGTTTCAAATGCTGGTGTTTCTATTTACAACAGTAGCGCTTGCTCAATATTTTAACCAAAGGTTATCAGGTGCTATCTAATTTCACTTGTTAGCTGTAAGCTTATGATTTATTGGTTGCACTCTGTAGGTTGGACTTCTGCTTCGAGCGATGGGTTACCCTCCTAGAACAAGAATATACTTGGCAGGTTCAGAAACCTTTGGGGGTCAAAGAGTTCTGATTCCTTTACGTGCCATGTACACCAACTTAGTGGATCGTACTTCTTTGTGCAGTAAACAAGAGCTGGCCAATGTGATTGGCCCAGAAACTCCTCTTCCTCTGGATTCTTTCCAATTTACAACTGTCAAAACAGCAAAGCAACTAAAAGAAGAGTGGGACAAGGCGGGCCCTCGTCCCAGGCCTCTTCCTCCACCTCCTGGCCGACCTATTTATCAACATGAGAAAGAGGGTTGGTATGGATGGATTACTGAAAAGGATTCAGAGCCGGATCCTTCACCGATTGATTTACGGGAGCAAGCACATCGTTTGCTCTGGGATGCTCTTGACTATATTGTCTCTGTTGAAGCTGATGCTTTCTTTCTTGGTTTTGATAATGCTGGTAGTGGATGGCCAGATTTTTCTCTGTTGAGGATTTTGGTTGGATTTTAAGATGGTGGTGGAGGCGGTGCCGGCACAGAGCTGACACTGTTGTTGGCAATATCCTTCTCCAGGCTGCACATCGCTTGCTCTGGGATGCTTCGCCAATTGATTTACAGGAGCAAGCACATCGCGTGCTCTAGGATGCTCTTGATTATATTGGCTCTGTTGAAGCTGATGCTTTCTTTCCTGGTTTTGATAATGATGGTAGTGGATGGCCAGATTTTTCAAGCTTGGTCATGGGGCATCGGCTATATGAGATGTCATCTACTAGAACATATCGACCAAACAGGTAAAAGGTTTAATTCGAAAAAGTTCACCTATTTCCTTTGTGAGTATCATATTCATTCTTAATTGCCTAGGTTGTCATGCAAGTATTTCTTATTCTTTCTCTTTATAAAATACCCTGGTTGTTTGGTTTACTACAGAAAGTTTGATGTTTTGACTAGGAATAAAGTTGTTTCTTTGAATTTGAAATAATTCTTGTTTTATGGTTTATATTTTGATTGTCAGCCAAGATGTCAGGTTCTTATCTATATGTTTTATTGGCGTACTAGGAATGAAGTTGTTTCATAGAATGAATGTTTTTTTTTTCAATGTGTTATATTTTGATTCTCAGCCAGGACGCTGAGTTCTTATGTTTTTGCTTCAGAGAGGTACTAGATTACAAGCCAATTTGGACCTTTGAAATCAAGAAAAAAAGTTAAAGACTTCAGAACCTGAAGATTTTGTGTTTAGCAGAACTAATACTGAATGTATAGAATGATTTTTAGGCATAGCAAGGATGTGGATGATTAGTGGAGTCTCAATAAAGGAGTATTTTATTCAAAGAATCCTAAAGTAATTAGTTTGGTCGTCAATAAGAAAATTGGTTGAAAGGGAATGAAATTAGGACGCTTGAATGAAACAGAGAATTATTAATGAAATGTACATGATTGGAAGATACCCACCAAATTACAAGGTACTCTAAATAGTGGTGTTGTTGGACCAATTATACTTTTGTGGTACCGAGAGTGGGCAAAGCACAATGCCCATAAGATGAATGCATGAGATGCGAACATGTCGAGATAGGTATTTGGTAACATGGCAGCAATTGAGGAAAAACTCAAAAAATTACTTGCATGAATCGGCGACTATTATATAGACCCACAGTTCTTTTTCTATTCCAGTAGAACATGTTATAAGAGATTGAGGTACAAACAAATAATAATTGTTTTGGTTGAAAGACTTGAATGTATAGAGCTAGATCAATTGAAGGTATGCAAAGAATCGTATAGTCAACCTTAAATTGTTGGGAATGAGACATAACTTCACGTGATTGTTTTTTCCATATTTGACTTCAAACCTTTCATCTTCCTGTCTTTTAATGTTTTGGTGTTTGTTCATCTAAGCAGGAAATATCTCACTGATCTCTTAAATAGTACCACCGATCATCTGTACCATCCCTCGCGCAGTTGGACTCTCTCTGTACGGGAGCACCTCAACCGAAGCACATCAGAAGATGGCATTATGCAGGAATTTCAACTATCAAGATCGAAGTTGTTCCTTTCCCACCCGATCCCGGAATGCTCGTGTACAACTGTCAAGACTGCTGAGAATCTACATCCCGGCAAGAGCAGTAATCTCGATGTTCTGTTTGGAGGACAGAGTGAGTGCCCCAAATGGATGGTACAAGCTACAAAAACAGCTGGAACACAAGATAGCACTGATGATGAGAATGAAACACAAGAAGATGAAATCGATTTGGGACAGGAGGAATCAGACGGTAGTGGAGAAGGCGACTCAATACCATCCATGGAGCAGGATGAGGAAATGGATCCCGATGATTAAAATAGTGGTACAGATATCATCCTATGTTTTGAAGTTCATAATCTTGTTGCTGCTATCAAGTCAAAGCATAAGCATGACAGATGAGTATATTTCCTTAGAGGTTAATTTGTTGAGGCGGCTGTAGGAATCTTCCATACTGGTGCATTGCGAATTCTATAGGGTCCGAGTTATTGGTACTTACATAGTTTAAAGTAAATATGTGCAACCCACCTTCATTCGGCATTTAGTGGTGGGGATTACGGTTGATTCCTCTTATAAATCCCCCATTCCCCGTCACCCCTCTCTTTATCAACATATGGAAGGTCGGAAAGGTGTCTTGTTTTCCCCCATTTTTTTTCCCATACACGAAACCAGCTGTATAATTTCCGAGATTTTGAGAGCTATTTTAAAAAGACCATGAACAGGATCTATACATCTCGATCGGAAAAGAATCAAGAGAAAAAGAAAGAATCGGAATTGATCGATAGATTTCTCGAAACAAACGACAGTTGTTCATTTGCTTATTATAATTATTCTTTGATTTTGTTTGGCCTCTCTACCCCGTGGCATGTTTAGCATTGTTTGGTTTGGATAATAAATAGATTATTTGTAGGTTTTGATAGAAGTTGGCGAAATATGTGATTG